CCGTTCGTCAGGAGTTTGTTTACCTCCTTCTCCATGGTCTGCCCCCTCTCAGTGCTCACACTTCTCAACTTTTGGCGGACAGGCTTATATGTGGGGTCAACATTGAGTCGGTGAAAGGCCACTTCGAGGTCAATTCCTTCCAAGTCTTCATGGGACCAAGCAAAAATGTCTGCGTTTCTTCTAAGGAAATCTACTAAGGCAGATGTCTGCTCCTGGGAGAGTGAGGAGCCTAAGTATATTTTCCTCTCCGGGAGGCTGTCATCTAGTATTTCTGGGCGGAGCTCCTCTGCTGGTTCACCCCTCTCCAAGGTACTGTCGTCTCTGGGGTCAAAGACTTCAACTTGGAGAGTCTCGTGCGGTCTCCTAGCCCTCATGGAGGTCACGTAGTACTCTGTGGCTGAGACCTGATCTCCTCTTATTTTCCCAATCCCTTTGGAGGTTGGGAAGCGGAGGAGAAGGTGGTAAGTAGAGGGTACTGCCCTTAAGGCATTGAGGGCAGGGCGTCCAATAATGACATTATAAGCAGAGGGACAGTCGAGTACGATATAATTTACCATGATAGTAGAATTCTTGGGTGCAGTTCCTGCTGTGACAGGCAGGGTGATGGATCCCAAGGGCTGGACTCTCTCTCCCGAGAAACCAACCAAGGGAGTCCTGACCGGCTGTAGTCTCTCTCTACCGAGGTGAAGATTGTCGTAGGCTGTGGCAAAGAGGATGTCGGCTGAGCTGCCGCTGTCGACTAGGATCCTCACCTGATAGTTGGCCACCATCAAGGTCAAAACTAAATGGTCATCATGAGGGACCTGGACCCCTATAAGGTCTCTGTCTGAGAAAGTAATGACCTCCTCCTCCCTGTGTCGTGGGGTCTTCATTGGGCGGGAGTCATGAGCCTCCGCCTATCTGGCTCTACAGGCGTGCGCCTTCCTGGCGGAGTTGGAGTCACCTCCTCCTCCTAACCCTCCAGAAATGGTATGAATCTCACCAAGGGGCTGCTGGCGTTCTCGTTCTTCCTGCGGTGGAGCTGGTCCTCAACCAGCCACATACTGTCTGAGGTGACCCCGCTGGATAAGTTCCTCAATCTGCTTCTTCAACTGAAAACAGTCATCTGTGTCATGTCCATGGTTGCGGTGGAAGCGACAATACTTACTGGGATTTCTGCGTTTGGGGTCAGACCTCATCTTCTCCGGCCAACGGATGGCAAGGTCATCTTGTATCTGGAGTAGGATGTGCTCCACTGAGGCATTGAATGGAGTGAATGGTCGTTGGTCCCTTGGGGGCAGTGGTCCGAGGCGGTCTTTTACAGAGACTCTCTCGGCTTTCTTCTTCTTGGTCTCGGTCTCCCTTTTATCTTCCCAGCTGGCTTTTCTTTTATCCCCTCCTCGAGAGGACTCATCCCGACGAGCCTTTGTGACATCTTCGGCATTCATATACTTCTGTGCCCTAGACAGGAGTTCGGCATACTGGAGGGCGGCTTCTTGAGGACTGAGAACATGAAGCTGGAGGTGCGAAGACCGACAATAAAGGCAGCCAGAGCCACCTTAACATCTGGCTCATCAATCTGGAGCACCTCCTCATTGAAGCGGACAAGGTAGTCATGAAGACTTTCTTCCCTATCCTGCTTGATGGTGAGCAGGTGCGTCACTGGTTTTTGATGGCGACGTCCCCCAATTAAGTGGGAGACGAATGACCTACTTAGTTCTGCGAAGGAGCGAATGGAGGAAGGCCTGAGCTTGGAGAACCACTGGCGAGCAGACCCTTTTAAGGTGGTAGGGAAAGCCCTACACATGATCTCCTCAGGCACATTGTGGAGTTGCATGAGGGACTTGTAGGTATCCAGATGGTCAAGGGGGTCTTTGGTGCCATCGAAGATCTCGATGGTGGGTATCTTGAACTTCGAAGGCAACGGGTAATTAATAATGTCAGTAATAAAAGGAGTATCAGTGCGCCTCACCAAATAGTCCACAGTTTCAGACGCCTGTGCCTTGATGGCGTTAAGGGCATTACCAAGCTAGTTCTGCACTTCCCTGATCTTCTCATCTCACTAGTTGGGGACACCTTCGATCAGGTGATGATACTGGCTCTCGTAGTCTCCGTATTGACTTTCTCCTTCGACCTCTTGCGCAGGCACGTGCAAAAGGGGAACACGTGCGCTCCTTGCGCATTGAGGAGGGATCGCTTGACGAGGGACTCCCTGACGTTGCCTTGGAACATTCTGGCGAGGAACCTGACGCCCAGAAGAGACGGGTAGCGACTCCTCTCCCGTTGGAGGGAGTGGGACTCCCCCTGCGGGATGATGGGTGATGCCCCCTTGGTCGAGCATTAACTAGATCATCTGTTGGTTTTGTTTCACCAACAGTTTCATAGTCTGTAGAAGCTGTTGTTGTTGTCCAACGATGGGAGGCATCGTGGCAGAGGGTTCTGAAGGTGCGAGGGGAGGTGGAGCCTCTTCCTGGTGCGCAGGGTTGTTGTCTCCCGGTTGATGAGACCTTGCTCGGGTCGTGATTGCCATGGATTACAAAAAGGTTGAAAGGTAGTAGAAACTTTGTCGTTTCCCACAGACGGCGCCAAACTGATGATGCACAAATCAGTTTTATGCAAGATCAACAGTCAAGAATACGAACGGGTGTAATTAATGAACAAAAAATAAGCAATCAATGACAATCAAGAATAAAAATAGTAATTAAGCAATCAACACAGAGATTTATAGTGGTTCGGTCTCAGATGACCAACTCCACTTTCGGGAATCGCAGCGGTAGCCAGTGTTCTTTATTGATGAGTGATGGTACTCCGGAGAGTTACAGTACTTTTGGGGAGACAGAGAGAAAGAGAGCAATGAGTGTAGGGGGTGCGTAGAGGTTTCAGAGGCGTGCCCTTAATGTTGAGAGGACTTACATTATATAGTTAGGATAAGGCGGTGACGTAGGTGAGTGGACTTCTACTACTTTGGTAAGTATAGTTATGATAGGAGATCTCTGCGCTTATCCCGATGTTTCCTCCCTCGTGCTCCTATTCTTTCGGAGGAGGACTCTCAGCTGGATTGGACTTGATCCTCGTCTTGATCCTAGACCTGTCTTGAGTTGGTGTGACTTGGACTTGGATTGGAGCTCTAAGGTGAAGAGGAGCAAAGAGGGAGGAGCCCAAGGGGCCAGCTGAGGCAGCGCCCAAGGGCTGCCAAGTCTCTTGGGCGTTGGCCTTGGGGTTTTGGGCGTTGACCTCTTGATGTCTTCCTTTCCAATGGATCGATCCAGTTTCGATTTGGACTTTCCTTCGAACTTTCTTGGATTGTTTTCATTGGGCCTAGCCCAGTAAAATTCGGACTCATCACTGTCAATTTCATGATCTAGAAACCGTGTATGTGATAATCTGACCCTAATTTAAGTGAGGGAATTTCTTAGTCCAAAAACAAAAAGGAAAATGAGACATCAAAACTCCTCTTCCTTTTTCAGGATATCATGCATCCTAATAGCACAAAATGGAAATTGAATCAGTGATGGCTACTTAATTCAGCAACTCACGAAATAAGGACACTTGGTCATAAATTCATCCTTAAGCATTGAAGAAGAACACAAAAGAGACGTATCCCATATAACAAACAATCCTGACCAAATAGATGTTGTTTGATATAGGATGCATATGATAACTTATTTGAGACAACGATACAGCCTTTCACAATAAGAATGATTAGGCTGTTCACTTGATGTTAAGTGGAGTGGCAAAGTCCAAAACAGTGAATAAACTGAATGACCATCAATCAAATGTGGTTTTGACTTTAAGAATCTTAAAGTAAGTCAAAAACATGAGAAATTTAATGTGTGCATAAAGATGCGGCATCCTGGACACAAATACGACTCTGTCGGCATTTTGTATTTGGCGTGATGAAGAGTTGCATTCTATCTCCACCCAAAATCAGCATTTTTAAACTGTTAGTTTGGTGCACCAGCGTGACTAATGCTTGGCATGAACATAAGGAATTCATGTCAACTGTTGGTTTTTTTTTTATGGAATCTAGTTTGTATATGTGATCCAGACGATGACCCAATTCAAAGTAATGTTGTGTGGTTTTTTAATGAGAAATTTTTTGAGGCTTAGTCTATGGAGTGAAGGCTTAGGCCGGTAGGGCCAAGTTGTAGCGCTCATGGACAAACCTTGTGGGGGTTCGGGGGCAACGCCCCTGAGGAAAATTTTTGGGCCCGTTATATAGTCCAGTGCGTAGGACATATAAACCCCGTTGTTTTGATGATTAGGGTTAATCGTGAATTGTACAGCCGCTCTCTGTATTCAACTCTCTCAATAGTGAAATCCCTGCAGCTTCGTGCACGTAGGCAAATTGCCGAACCACGTAAAATCTGTATCTTGTTCTTTCTTGTTTCTTATTGCTTTATATTCTTGATTTGTTCTTCGATTGTGTGTGTTTGTTAATGGATTTAAATCGTGTTAAATCCCAACATCAACATCCTTATCCTTATATTACAACTTGGGAAGCTGTGTTTTCTGACAAGTCCAAAGGGTATTCTCGTGATTTCTGAAATGACATCAACATCCCCTGTTAAATTTTATAATTTTCCAAATTTTCTCTTATTCCTTCCCCCTGTAATACAGATAGCAATTAAAAATCTGTAGCTCGTTTGGGACTCTACCAATTGGATATAGCCCCCAAAGAATTAAGCATCTTCAGCCCCAAAACGTACACTTTAGCGCACCAAAGATTGGAAACCATTATGGAATAATGCACTAGAAAGCTGATGGATTCATGGGAACACCACACGACGAGTAAAATGACCAGGAGAACATTAAAAGGGAACTCATCTTAAATCACTGGTTCATAAGAAAAGATAGCATACCTGAGTGCTTGAGATCGAGAAGCAAGGACGGGGATCACATTTAGCTTAGTACCATTCTGACAAGATATAGCATGACATCGAAGAGCCTGAATTCTCATCAGTTTCCGAAGTTCTTTAACAGGGGGAACCTACACAGACAAGATATATATATTTCAAGTTTTAAAAAGCATCCACAGAGAGAGAGAAAGAGAATAATATGCAAATTAGAATTACCAATGCTGGGTTTTTCACTTTAAAGGTATAGCATTCTGAAGATCCTGAGTCTTCTTCTGCAATAACTTGTCCATCTTCTTTCTTTTTATCATTAATAGAAGCAGCCCAACGAACTAAAGTTTTCCTCAAACCATCTCCACCCCAGCGATAATCAATGTGTGAACAATAATCTGAGTCTACTACATACGGAATCCCAGAACTGTGTTCTGAACTGGACAATGGATAATAGAGCTCACTGCCACTGTTGCAGATAAAAGCATCAAAATCCATAGGACTAAAGCCTCCCGACTCCAGAAGAGAGTGCACCTCAGATATGGTTGAGGATGATGACAATATAAAGCCAATGGAGCCTGCACTCTTGTCCATCCCCAAGGACTCAACAATTATTTTGATGGTACCAAGTAGATCAGAAATTGGATCACAATCCACAGCAATGACAAAGATGAACTTCCTCCTCTTTAACATTGATAACTTAATCATTCCATGCTCTGTGGACCCGCCCTCCGAAAGTGTCAAAACTGCATTCTCTATTTGCTTGTTCCCACCAATGGCATTTTCTTCAGAATCTAAAGCATTTTCAATAGTGCCACTCCCTTCATTTTTCTCACCATCCAGTGAGATCTTTAAGTTAAGAGATATATCCTGTATATCTCTCAAAGAATCACCAGGTGAATCTGATTCTGAATTTTGACATTCGTCATCACTTCTTTGCCATTGTGGATGCCTTGGTCTGCAACTAGCAATTCGAGCTAGATATGCTGTACAATGCTCTGGCCATGAGAAAAGGTGAATATTATTCAGTCCATGCTGCCTGCATCTTGCCCAAAGTTGCTTATCAGCAACAAGCTTCAGAAGTGCACCAGCAATAGACTGCTGATCATGGGGGTCAACTAGCAGACCGTTATCAAGAACCTGAAATAAGTTCATGATCAGTATGGGAAACCAACATGAAACTTCATCCCACTACAGCCCCTATGAAGAAATGTGTAAACTTGTCTAAGCTACAAGAAGGCTCCACCAACGCACACACCCGATGAATATCAACAGGACCTCCATTTTTTGTGGCAACAATAGGCAGACCATGAGCTGCTGCCTGTTTAACAAGAGTTTACATTGGATTAGCTAATAAATCAATATGAGTAATGTAAAAGCTTTGTAGACCACAAGGAAAAAGCACCTCAATTAAGGTGAGACCAAATGGCTCAATAAAAGCTGGATTGATGAAGACACCCTACAAAAGTTCACAAGAATTATAAGCTAAGCAACAAAATGACCAAGCAATGGATCCTCATTGAGATTGTGCATAAACTAAAGTGAGGGAGGTTCAACAAACAAAGAAAATGCTGGACACTTTTCCGCTAACTGTGCTGCCCCTCCTAGGTGAGCAACACTATTTGAACTGGTTGAAGTTCTTGTTCTTTCCTCAAATGTCCTCTCCGGGCCAAAAGTCATGCACTACATAGGGGCCAAAAGATTGTCAACTAGTGGGAAGGCTCTAAATTTAAAGAGCAATAGGATCTTAATGCACAAAATTAGGATCCACAGTCTACGTTTAATTGAACCAACCAATTTACTCTAAAACATCTCCTTTAACAAACAATATGCCTGATATCACCAAGCAAAAAGCCTTTAGTAGAAGTAAGCTATCTTTGATCTTCTCTCCTGCTTCCCTCTTTACTTTTTAATCTGTGATATCTTTCAGCTTTGGAAGTACGTATAAAGTACAGATGTGGATATGGGTAGGGGACAATACAAATACGATAGTACAACAAAATCTGAGAAAATGGCATATGCATATAGGAAGATATGCCATTATATATGACACACAACCCTGAATGGGAACATAAAATAATGATGATCCCGGAACATAGTATGGAGAGATTAAGACAACTCTCTTATAGAAACTTTATCGAGGTTTTTTGCAACAACCCTTCAACTATACCTACCTTTAATAAAGAGTATGGCATTGCATCAGTGCATTCATTCTCCTTTTTAGCTTTCCCCACTCTGTTTGTATTTCACTTGATAATGTAGGATGCACTAAACAAATCAATAAACCCTAATTGACTAAAAACTATATGAATTCCATTATGGTGACATTTCAATTGACAACTCATCTATATCACCAAATATAACAACCCATCTTAGATATTCAAGTCTGTCTCTTACTTTTACTTTCTAATTGTGTCATCTTAAGTTTAAGAGTAATGACATGCTATAAAAAAACATGCTTAACATATCTTCCATTTTAAGGCCAATACTATATGTTTTCTTGCACAAGAACTCCAGTATATTTGTTTTAAACAAATAATTTTGTTAATGGCTCCTTTGAAAATAAATATATTATACTGACCCTGGCATATCCCTGGGAATCCTAAACACAGTGGCGGCATATACGCAACATATCCGAGACGTACATGATACATATCGGATACGAATACTTCTGTGCCTTACAGGTAAATACCAATAAAACTAGGGATTGGAGATAAGGACTGTTTGCAGCAACAGGCATCCTTGCTCTCCCACTTTGCAACTCCAAAGTAGCTGTCAATCCCTATAATTAGGCTATAGGGTTGAACATAAAAACTTTCTTAAATGTGAACCTAAGTGAGGTTTAAAATTTCTTTCCTTGCTTCTAGAAGCAGAAAATATTATTGCCACCACAATAAGAAGTAAAATAGTTACAGTACAAAGCTTTCTCAGAAAACAAAATGAAAAGGTCAACCAACAACAATTACATAAACAAGAGCAAGATGAATAAAAACACCTACATCAGACAGCCACTTAAATGTAGCCAAACCATAACCCTATTTGACCAGAGTGATCTTAAGCCTGGCTCATGATCAGCTCATCTTGTGATGATTTACATTTAACTGGAAATTGCTTCCATAATTATTCATGAACCATCCTGACAACCATATATGCCTGCACCATATTTTGCAACTGAAGTGCCAAATGACATTACACTTACTCAAACTCCACAGTGTAGAGTTCTTTGAGGATTTCTATCATGTAAAAAAACAACTCGAACCGCAAAAGTCAACTAACCCTTCCAAGTCAAAAAATTGTTTGGACCACATACTATACCAACTTTCAAACTCAAAACATTTCAGTACCCTATACAAAGTAGCTTCCGCCAACTGATATGAGCAAATCATTAGCATAACCAGCGACACACACAATATATGCAAACATAAGCCGAAAGTCTCAAATACCAATTAATATCGACTTCCAGTTCTGTAATGCATGCATTTCTGATTCTGTATTTTTTTTTACTTTGCAAACACCCCCCCCCCCCAAAAAAAAAAAAAAAATCAAAATCCATGGCTAAGTCACCTCTGTTAGCATGGCAACATCTTAACGAAGTCCTCCTTCATCTCAATCTAAGGTATAAACTATTTCTTGCTTTAGCACAAGGCTATTTCTTGCGAAAACCAATTTGGATGATAACCTATAAAACATTAATCAGGACCCATTTTGAAAAGTTCAAAGATATGCCTTTCGTGCATCTTAGACTTGGCTCAAGTGCATACCTAACCTCAAAACCTTATGCATGAGTCATCATAAGGTGCCATATATGTCTTGCCCTGTCTACATATGGATAGTCGGGCAGCACACCCTTCAGGACATTGGTGGTATCAAATAGCAAAAAGTTGAATCTACCTACGCGATTTGATAAGCTCCTAAGTCCTAGGTGAATCTTTATCTAATTAGCATAATCCACTCCTAAGATTTAGATTAAGTAGAAACAATTGTAATGAATTCATATTACTACCCAAACATATCCTTTTTGTGTGAGCACGTGGCTTTGTATTCATAAAAAGAAAAAAATAAAATAGAAGCAATTTTAAAGGATAAAAAAAAGCTAGCATGTCAGGAACATGCTAGTTTATTTGTTTACAAGCTACAAAGTAAATTACCATATTCTACCTCTATTTATTTAAAAATAAAATATTTCTTAACATACCTTCGTTTTTGCTGCCAGACGGTATATGTCAGGAACATCAGACTGCTTGTGGTGTTTAGGATATGCCACTTGCCCATACAGATCATATTTGTCAATCAACTTCAAAATTGAAAGAAGAGTAGATGAATTTGTTCCAGACATTTCATCAATTGCATCACGATTGCCCATTATTAATGTCTGAAAAACAGAAAATGTAAAACTATGAATCATCAAAGAACAACAAAAATTACCTTAATGAATAAGCCTTTCCAACTACTTCGTATACTCTTATTTTTTGTGTTGATCAGTTAATGCAATTTAGGGGCTTAAACATACGAGGTTTGCGAGCTCCCTCAATGGACGGCACTCTCCAAAAGCTTTAACTAAAGTTATTAAGTTCTTTTTTGGATCTGGCCTGGCAAGGGCAAGTATCATAGGCTTGTGTGGATTGGTAAAGAAACGCATTATCTGTCAAATATGAAAAAACCCAAATACAGAGTAAGACTATCATAATCACATTCCAATAAAATTCTGACAGCCGATAAGCTGCCGTAGAAAATAAATTGGAAAAAACAAGTCAGTAAAGAAGAGCATTGCATGGTTGTTATCTTCACAGACAAATAGATTAAGAGAAAAGAGTAGTTAAAACCTCAGACCAAATGTGCGGATCTGGAGTCTTTGGATTATCTTCATTTTCTACTGCTTCCCCATCTATATCACCTTCATGCGGAACAATGTGATGAAATTCCATTCCAGGAGGAATTACCTGCACACCATTAAATATACGTTTAAAAATGGCGAGTAGTAAAATAAACGAACAAGTGAAATAGCAACACAAAAACAATTGAATAAAGCTAATTTATCTACATAGAGAAGGCTCCTCTTGTCCAATAAAAGAGAATAGGCAGTACTTACAACCATACGAGGCATAAACCTGCCATAACAGCTCACATTGCGTTTGATCCTTGCTCTAAGTTTGCGCTCCAATATTGGGTCAAATCCATCATACAGACGCCATTGCTCTTCTATCTCATGCCTTGTGCTAGTAATAATCACTTCAGAAGCATCAATCGATATCTCTTCAGCCTCTATGCGCCGCATTATTTTGTATGTTGCATTTATTTCTTCCTTGGATTGTCGCCCTTGTTTCAGAAGCTGTTCGAGCTTGTCTCGTCCAAGTGAGTGGCCAGTCAAAAGCATCGGCACATTTAAAGCTCCAGACAGGAGAGCAGCAGAGTCACCTGCATCTGCATAATGTCCATGAATTGCAACAGGCCAGACTGGTTGGCCACCACCAATTTGCTCACCAAGAACCTTGGACATCTGCATAATATGGCTAAGTGCAACATCAACAAATTCAGGAATGTGGGGCCAAAGGAGTTCCTTAGATACATATTTATCTTTTGGGCCAAATGGTATGCGGATTATATAAGCACCACTGCTCTCCCCAATTTCTTGCATGGAAGTTTCAGTGTTCACTGGGTTTAGCATCTCTGTTGGCTCACCATAAGTCCATTCTACATCTGGTGCTGATACTTGGCGTGTCAGCAAATCAACCCGGTAAACTCCAGGCATTGCGCCTAAGGCTCTGGCTAGCTCTACAACATACTTAACCTGAATACAAAAATGTGTTTTTGCAAAATTTTCCCTTAAAAACTTCATGTGTTGGGAGTGGAAGTCCGAAAATGGGGGAGTAGATGTAAACCAATTGAACAATTTGTAGAGAAACTTCAAGTCCAAAATCTACCTGGCCACCCGTGTCAGAATCCCGACCAAGCTCCATATTTTCACCCCGGATTAAACCATGAAGACTGCATGAAGACCAATTGTTAGAATGAAATAAACGCCATCATCAATGTGAAGCTGCCACACAACATCAAGAGATAATTTTTCCACAAAACAGATAAGATTTTGGAAAATACTTCCAGACATAAGGATCCTAAAGGAAATCCATGCCTGATTAATACAATGTAAAGTTTCTTTTCCTTGTGTTGACTAGCCCAGTTCTCCATCACATCTACAGAACAGATCCTAGGCATTCTTCCCCTAATGCTATCACCATGGGCCGACATGTCACTGACCAAGTTCCCTTTCTCTCCTTCTGATAAGTCTTCAGACATATCAGCAGTTGCTTCTCTACGACCCCTTTCACGTTCATGGTGCCGTTTACTTGTACGCTGAACTTCTTCCCCCTCAATCTACATGAAGAAACCAAGTTGAAAGGGTGAGAGGGTAGTGACAGTAATTTAAAACTAATCACTTTAACACCAAGAGCAAATGTAGTCATGCAATGATAAAAGCTACAGCTTTCAAGCATTATAGTGCAAATTCAAATATTAAGGCAGCCACTCTTTGTGAATAAACAATATGGGAAAGGTTTTCTCCTTGTTAACTCTTCCTAGTGTTCTCCATTCATTACCGACGCTGGGCAACACCATTTTTTACAATATTGGCAAAACATATAGGCCATACTTGATACGTGTACAAAGTAGGATGGGGCTATAGAATATGGGGAATTGTTTAGATAGATGGAAAACATGAGATTACATTGACATTAATTTTATAAAATTTTAAACAATAATAACCGAACAATATCACAAGCAAGGTTTTAAATTTGGCAGGACAGTACAAAGAGATCAGTCTTTGGAGAAATACATTTTCTAGCATTTCAAAGACTTTACGGCACAGAATGCAGAGAATAGTGAAATTCAAGTACAAAAATCTCATGGATAAACAATTTTACGATTTATAACCAAATTATGTGATTATCATATAAGGCTAAAAGTTATCACTGAACTTCTGAAGGAACATACAAAGAGAGTGACAGCCTTCTCATGAATTTTTTTTATTAGTTAAAGGTGTTCTTGTGCAGGTCCTCGTCTTTTCTTGGATCCTTGAGTAACATTACACATTTTACATAGCATGGAAGAAGATTATAAGGTTATTAGAGCAATCACAGGCTAAAGTTCAAACTTGCTATCCTCCAAAAAAGATACTTTTTTCAATCTTTTATCGTACAACAAATTTATACACTGAAAAGATTGCTATACCTGGCCTTTGCAGAGCCTCATCGTTTATTTTAAATGTAAGGAAGCCATTTCATTTTGATATAGTCCTCCCCCCCACAAAAAAAAAATCTTGAATCTCACATAATGGCCTTTAAAATTTGAATCTACCATAGCATTATCTCTACCTTTGGCAGAGAGTACTTGTTCAACACGTGTGTGTGTGTGTGTGTATTTGGGTACACATACACACGGAGCAAATGTACAAGTAATATCAAAATATATGTGGGTTTAAGTGATAAGTAGAAAGGGATTTGATGGGCTTTAGTAGACTATTTGAAGGTTAGATAGGCATATGAATTTCTTATTTACTGAAAACGTTGATAACATATCTTGTTGATTTACCACATACAAAACTCGCTATAGATAAGAAAAAGCCATATAAGATGGGTCTATCATAGCTGCTTTGTTCTCCATTTTTGCTCAATTTGTTGAGTTTATGTCACTATAAGTCTAGGATAGTTGAAGGTACAATAGATTGTCTCAAATCTACGAGCAATTTCATCCTAAATTTTGACCCTCTAAATCAAAATTCCAAATAATGTGACAGCAACGTACTCTTTCTATATGCTTAATTTATTTATGGTTTAGTGGCGCATTCCCAGTTATAATCAACAAATCAGTTGAAAGTCGAGCATCATGCTTAACCAGTTCAAATAACTAAAGAACAGTTAAGCCAGCGAGATCTTCGAAGTCTTCAAATTCATATTGGATGAATATTTAGTGGAATAATGTGATCCTTAAAGTATATATTGCAATCAATTATGCATGATAGCCATTATAACATCACAGAAAGTTTTTTAAGTTATCATCTTCCACATTCAAATCAATATACCAGCTAAACGCTGTCTTCAAATCCAATCAAACAATGATATTGGTCAAATTATACTCAAATTACAAATGTTCCATATTATCTTTACTACAGAAAAATTTAATTTGGAGAACAAAATCAAATGAGAACGAAACCTGTTTTTTCTTGCGAGCCAAATTCCAAATACGCCAACACATATTTTCCAAACGCGTATTCCTCTCCTGTGAATTCCGAATCGATGAAGCCTGTGCATATATTCCAAACATATAGACGTTAAACATATATACACATTCACGAGCGTGATAGTATTGGAGAGAGAGAGAGAGAGAGAGAGAGTAGTTTGAGAAATGAGAATTGGAGAAAGTTTATCGAGGCTTACTTGAACCCAAGATCGATGAAGATCGGTCTCATCAAAGCCGGTGATGACTTCTTCGACGAAGTATCGAGTGGGACTGAATCGTCCTCTCTCTCTCAACAGCAACGATGATTTCGCATTGTCGATTCCTGGATCGACGTCCAGGATCGCCTCAAGGTAACTGTTTATCCAATCGTTTCCCGCCATTTTCACGATTTTGCCACAGAGCAACAGGTTCTTCACATGGACAAGGAGAACAAAAATTATTGAAAGGAATGATACCGATTCACGTTAAGAGTGTGTGTATGTATGTTTGTGTGTGTGTGTGTGTGTGATAGAGAGAGAGAGAGAGAAGCAGTGATCGCCATATACACATATGTATGTATAGGTATACGTCTGAGAAAGATCAAAACCTTATGAATGCTGATACATAGATTGTCCGTGTGTGTGTGTGTGTAGAGAGAGAGAGAGCGAGAGAGCTCCTCGTGTTTCTGGTACTGGCAGTGTACACTACAACAAAAATGACGCGAAGGACGCAGAGAGAGAGAGTTTGAGAGAGCGGAGGTTGATTCGGTAAGTGGGCCTATGAAGAATTTCAATTTAGGTAAATCTCATAAATACCCCTAAACTATGACATTTGTTTTAAGTATTTTTCAGTTGTGTCACAGTCTAATAGACAACGATCGTGTTCATTAGCAGTTAATCTAAAAGTGTTTTTTCTTTTGTGAATGAAACTTTATTGCAAATTAATAAAGGGTTAATCTCATTTTGCACTCTAAAAGATTGTTCGAATTTCAATTTGTACCCTCAAAGATCAAAAATCTTAATTTATACCCTCAAAGATAGAAATTTGTATCAATGTGCACCCCCAAAGATCAAAAATCTAAATTTACACCATCAAAGATAGAAATTTATATCAATGTGCACCTCAAAGATAAAAAATCTCAATTTGCACCCTCAAAGATAGAAATTTATATCAATGTGCACCTAAAAATTAAATTGATAAATTATACCTAGATCCCCTCATACTTGTCACTTAATCATTTAGACATCTTCACATTTAGAATATTACTTCTACATCTTATGACATTTGTGCACGTATAACACGTAACTTATTTTCATTGATATCTATTAATATAACCGTTAAAAAATATAATTTTATCATAATAAAAAATTATAATTTCATATTACCCTTTATTTTATGGGTTTAATATATTCTAAAGTTTAAAATCTAGTTTACCATTTGAATGTGTAATAAAATGTAAATATTTATATAATGTTTTTCATATTTACTTTTATATAAATATCTACATTTTATTAGACATTCAAATGGTAACCTTTATTTTTAACTTTAGAGTATATCGAATCCACAAAATAAAAGGTAATATGAAATTATAATTTTTTATTAGGATAAAATCATATTTTTTAATGATTATATTAACATATATCAACGAAAAGTGGTTATGTGTTATACATGCACAAACGTCATGAGATGTAAGGGAAATATTCTAAATGTGAAGGAGTTCAAATAATTAAGTGACAAACATGAGGGGATCTAGATATAATTTATCAATTTAATTTTAGGTGCACATTGATACAAATTTCTATCTTTGAGGGTGCAAATTGAGATTTTTTATCTTTGGAGATGCACATTGATACAAATTTCTATCTTTGAATGTATAAATTGAGATTTTTGATCTTTGGGGGTGCAAATTGAGATTTGAACAATCTTTTAGGGTACAAAATGAGATTAACCCATTAATAAAAGTGTTTTTTCTATTGTTAATATCTTAATTATCATTTTTCTTGTTTTTAGTTTGCCTATTGATTTCGTCCAAAAAAGTCTTCAAATAAGGCAGTCAAAGACAATATCAAGTAGCCATCTGAAACCATGTTATCAAAAGATTATCACTGTCGATCATTGGAAAAAATCCTTTGTGCACCCAACAACTACTAAAGAAATTTTGGTATTATACCCAAATTATTGATTGATTTATATTCATTAAGTATAAAAGGAATAAAATAATTTCAAATAATAAATAAAAAATTACACAATTTTTAAAATAAAAATATGATACTAAAATTTTTTATTAGATGAAAATAAAAATATGATACCATAAAATTACTTTTAATCCTAAAACTAGGGGCGTAACTTGAGCAAACTAACCCGAATTCAAGTCGAGCCTAACTCGAAAAAAAACAGAGTTTAGGTTAGGATTTTTAATACTTGGGTTGGACTTAGTTAAAAAAACTTCAACCTAAATTAAATTTGGGCAAGATTCATGTTGAGATCTCGTGTTATCGGATTGAACCCAAATATTAAAATCGAGTTGAACCCGAATATACGTAAATATATTTAACTAGGGTTAGTATTTATCTTCACTCTTTAGAGTTCAGACTTTTACTTCACTTTAACTTTTCACCCCTGCGCCTCCATCACTCTTAGATCTCTCTTTCACTCGTCATTTTTCCCTCTCTTAGCCTCCCTCTCTCAATTGTCACACGTCTGAGTCATTTTAGACTCTCAGCAACCCTTTCTTACTCATCACTCTTCTTTCTCTCTTCATTTACGTATCGCTTTTCATCTCATATCACTTGAAAAAATCAAATGTATACTTTAAAAAATCAACCAGAATTAAGTAACTCAAGTCAACCCGATTTTTAACCCGAAATCAGTCCGAATTAAGTAACCTGAATTCAACCCGAGCACGCCCGAATTAAACTCGGGGCAGTACTTGGGTTGATGTAGGGTTAAGATTAGAGTTGAAAATTATATATCTAAGGTTAGATTAAGGTTGACCTCTCAATCTGCCCGAGTTGCACCCTTACCTAGAACAATAATTGTGTGATTGTGGATCAATCAAAAGAATTAATAACAGAAAAACAAGTTCGTGTCATCTTCATTCGTATTGTGTCTTTACAGAATATGTTATACTCGTATCATGTTCATGTCATTTTTGCCTCGTGCAAGGTGTCCTACTTATCGTTAAGAATGAATAGTACCTCTACCTGTAATGCTATTTTGACCAAATTTTTGGGCTAAATTAAAATCCAATAGCATATTATTTAAAATCTTTATTGGGACTTAAACGACATGTCATTAAATAAATAAGTTCAAGTCAACTGTCATGTCATTTACTCTCTTAATTTGGTCTCAAAATTTAGTCATAAAAGCATTACTGGTACCTCTACTCTAGTTGATTTTTTGTAAGCACCACGATATCTATGCTATGCTATGTTATGCATCTCGCATTTAAGTCATGCAACCTTTCGCTGGATGATAGAATACTTTGGTGCTTTATGACCTCATAGTCTACGAGTTTAAACCATTTTACTCCAAGGCAAGTCAAAATTCTAATTGGGTGACGTTAATTAAATTTTGGACAATTAATTTCAATTGTGAATTCTATATTTCAAAATTAAATGGAAAGTTTTTTTTTTTTAACATAGTATGACCCCTACCAGTAGTGGAGCCAAAAATTTTGTTCAGAACAGACACTTTAACTATAAATTTAATTTTTTTTTTTCATTTGATAAAAATAACATAACACATTTAAATTTATTATATTATATTTGACACTTAAACATTTATCGGATACAAAATGATTCAACATCGATATGCATAGAATATACAAAAAAACTTATATAAAGAGATAAAAGACCAATGAGTTGTTGGGCCACCGAATAATAATTAAGATTTTCTCGCTCAATGCTTGAATTCGAGTTTTTATAAGTATGACAGTTCATTGGAGCGAAGCCTATTCTTCAACTTCCGTATCACGTAGTGGGACCTTATGCTCCCTGATAGATATATAGTCTATGTGCATATCCATTTCTTTTTACCCAAAACAAAGAGAGATAAAAGACTCTAGTGCTAAGTTTTTATTTATTAAGTTTTAGATTTTGTTTGTGTTGTTTGTGGTGTGATAAATATTATAAAATCACTTATTAAAATTTTTGATTTGAACCACATAAAATATAACAAAATAGTTACATTAAAAAATTACACAGAAACGAAATAGTTATAGCAGGGTAACAAAATAGAGACACAAAAGAGTTGTAACAATGTAACGAACCAGTAACAACAAACAGATACACGTAACTGTTTGTTTAAATAATAAAAATACTAACCCGATTTACAGAACAAAAATTGTTATTGAACTTTAGGTAAATCAAGGCTAATGTTTGACACTATATCCTTAAGACAGATTTCGCCTCCACACACGGTGCTTATGGAAATCGAGCGTCTGCCTCTTAGGATACAATAATCTTTACATGAACAGAAGTAGCACTCAAATCTGGTCGTCCAGTGAACCAAAATCGTATTGTGTACTTTTTAAATGCACTGTCTTAATGCCGAAAATGATATGTTCTAATGTCTACTTTATTGTTGAAAACGGGCTGAACGAATGTATTGAATTAATGAAAATGAGCTTGAGTATTTATAGACACATTGGTGACTTTTCGGACAGTCACCTTACTAAAAGACACAACAACCAGTAGATAACTTGAGTAACTGTTCTTCATGAACAATCACAACTCAGAATTTCGGACTGGTAGGAAGCAAAAATCTGAACCAGTGCGTACTGAAAATTTATTTCAGTTCAGAAATTATCGTCCATAATTAAATGAATTTTATACAAAAAGATAGGGCTTGATCACACCCACACCCGAGCCCTGCCCCATATGCGGGTTGTGGGGTGCGCGCGCGTGGTTAAATCAAAGGCATGTAAGTGTTCGCTCTGCTCATAAAACTGTGATACCCCTTGGGGCTCAATTCCATAGAGCAAACTTGACCTATATATGCCCATGTTGAATTTCTTTCTTAACCAATGTGGGATTAATGTCATATTCCACATTGCACTTCCTTTATTTTCACATTTCAAAAGGGTTACTTTGGAACCTATTTTCTCATTCATTTCTTACTCGATTTGAGCAAGTGAATATACTACATTATTCTTATCGCGGAGTAGAATATGAACCCATGAAATTTTATTCAAAATAACAATCGGGTCCCACTTTAATTTAGGTTCAAAATCAATCAAAATTTAGTTTTTACACTTCAAAAACTGTTTTTGTACAACAGTTTGGTCATTCAATATAGTTTGGTTGTATGCCATTTTTCAACATTATCATCCTAACTATCCTTAACTTTTTTAAACACCATTAGTGGGCTTAAATAAGTAACTAAACTTACTTGCGACCCG